GATGATTCACAGGAATGCTTTAAAGTGAAATCTGACTTTTGATGTACAAGACATTATTTAAGGAAGATGGCTAAGAGTGTGCTCAAAGATCTGTGTTTTTTGGTGCATTCTGGAGGAAGATAAAGGGAGATGGAGAGGTTTAGGGAGGGAATTCTGCAGTTGAAGACTCAGCCATCAATGGCGGAGCAACTAAAATTTGGAATGTTCAAGTAGCCATGATTACGGGAGTTTAGATATCTCTGAGGGTTTTGTGACATGGCAAGATAACCAAGACCAAGACAAGGAAGGACAAGGTCATTTGAAATCGAAAAAGACTATATGCGTTCATCGTATCTATGCCCCTCATGATTTTATACACCTGAATAAGGTCACCCCTCATTCTCCTACGTTCCAAGGAATAAAGTCCTATCCTGGCCCACCTCTCCCTATACCTCAGGCCTACTCGTCCTGGCAACATCCTCGTAAATCTTCTTTGCACACCTTCCAGTTTAACTATGTCTTTCCTATAACACGATGACCAAAACTGTACACAATACTCCCAAGTGCAGCCTCACCAACGACTTATACAACTGTAACATAACATCCCAACACTTTATATTCAGTGTCTTGACTGATGAAGGCCAGTATGCTAAATGCCTTCTTCACCACCCTATCAAACTGTGATGCCGTTCTCAACAAACTATGTACTTGTACTCCTAGGTCCCTCTGTTCCACAACACTCCTCAGGACCTTACCATTTACTGTATAAGTCCTACCTTGGTTTGACTTTCCAAAGTGCAACACCTTACACTTATCTGTGTCGAATTGCATTTGCCAATCCTCAGCCCACTTCCCCGTTTGATCAAGGTCCCTCTGTAATTTTTGATAACCTTCCTTGCTATCGACGATACCTCCTAATTTTGTATTATCTGCAAACTTGCTAATCATGCCTTGTATATTCACATCCAGATCACTTATGTTAATAACAAATAACAAAGGTCCCAGCACCAACCACTGTGGCACACCACTAATCACAGGCCTTCAGTCTGAGAAGCAGCCTACAACCATCACCCTCTGCTTCCTACCCTTGAGCCAATTTTGAATCTAATTAACTAGCTCTCTTTGGATCCCATGCAACCTAACCTTCATGACTAGCCTGCTGTGCGGGACCTTGTCAAAGGCCTTACTAAAGTCCATATAGACAACATCCACTGCCCTACCATCATCTATCCTCTTGGTTACCTCTTCAAAAAATTCTAAAAGATTTGTCAGGCATGACTTCGCACGCACAAATCCATGCTGACTATCCCCAATCAGACCTTGACCGTCCAAATGTTGGTTGATCCTGTCCTTTAGTATTTTCTCCAATAACTAGCCTGTCACTGATGTCAGGCTGACTGGTGGCCTGTAAATCACTGGCTTGTCTTTGCTACCTTTCTTAAACAGTGGAACAACATTAGCCACTTTCCAGTCTTCTGGAAATTCACCAGTGGCTAAAGACGAAGCATAAATCTCTGCAACGGCCTCTGCAATTTCTTCCCTAGCCTCCCACAACGTATGAGGATGGACTTGATCAGGCCTGGGGGATTTATCCACCCTAATGTGCTTTAAGGCTGCAAACACCTCCTCTCTGGTAATATGTATGCAGTCCAAAACATCCCCACTTGTTTCCCTTGTTTCCTTAGCATCCATGACTTTTACTGAAGAGAAATATTCGTTAGAAATCGCTATCTCCTGTGGCTCCACACATAGACAGCCATGCTGACCTTTAAATGGACCTATTCTGTCCCTAGCCACCCTTTTATTCTTAATATAGATATAGAACCTTTTGAGATTATCTTTAACCTTATCTGCCAGATCCGTCTCATACCCTCTTTTTGCTGTTCTGATTTCCCTCTTGAGTGTGCTCTTACACTTTTTATAGTCATCTAGGGATTTGCTTGATCCCGATAGCTTAAACCCAATCTATGCCATCTTCTTTTTCCTGACCGTAGTCTTAATATCCCTCGTCAGCCAGGGATCCCTAAACCTGCCAACTTTTCCCTTCACCCTAACAGGGACATACTGTCCGTGGACTCTTGATATCACACTTTTACAAGTCTCCCATTTGCCACTCGTTCCTTTTCCCTCAAACGGACTCACCCAATCGACCTCTGCCAGATCCCGCCTAATGGCCCCAAAATTGGCCCTGCTGCAGTTAAGTACCTTAACCTGTGGACCTGTTTTTCCATAACTAAGAGTTACAGTCACTGAACCAAAAGTGCTCTCCGACTGACACTTCAGTCACTTGCGTGACCTCGTTTCCTAAGAGGAGGTCCAGTGTTGCACCCTCCCGAGTAGGGCCCTCTACATATTGATTTAGGAAACTTTCTTGGACACTTGACAAATTCCACCCCGTCTGGGCCTTTTACACTCTGGATGGCCCAGTCAATACAGGGGAAATTAAAATCTCCAACCAGTACTGTTCTTATTCCTACAGATATCAGCTATCGTCCTACACATCTGATCGTCTAGTACCCACAGGCTATTTGGGAGTCTGTAATACAGTCCCAACAGAGTGACCATCCCCTCTTGTTTCTAAATTCTAACCATATGACCTCATTTGATGACCCCTTAAGAATATTCTCTCTCAGCACTGTTGTTAGCTGACCCATTCAGACCCCGCCTCCTCGCGCTAGAAAATTTCTCTCTTTAGCTAATTGTTTAGTTCCCTTCTGAAAGGTAATACTGAATTTATCTCCATCACAGTCCGAACATACCAGATGCCAACCCCTCTCTGCGTTTTCTTTTTTAAAAAAGTTCTCTTTATTACCATTCACCTTAAATCAGTGTCTTCTTTCACCAAAGGGAATGATGTTACATGGAGTCCATAACCTTGTGGTTTTGAACACGTCTGTCAAACCTCATCCCAGCTTTTTCTCAGGAGAACGGTCAAGTTTCTCCAATCTGTCCACCTGACATCCCTCTTCCCTGAACCTTTTTCTTGTGTTTTATGGAGGTTCACCATAGCACTTTTGCTTGCAGTCTATATTGCTATTTGTAGAGAACAGATTCTCATTGTTTATTAACCACTTTCTTAAGCTGTCCTGTCATCTTCAGTGAATACTGCACAATCACCCTGGTTCATCTGGTCACGTGCCCCTTTTAGATTTGTATCTTTCATCTTGTATTACTCTCCTTTTTTTGTTGTACCAAAATGTAACACTTCACACTTCCTTGCATTGCATTTTATTTCATCTACCATATGTTCACTCATTCACTAGCCTATCCATGTTACAGTCAGAGAGTTGTACAGCATGGAAACACTTTGATCCAATCCATCCACATCGACCATTTAATCTAAACTATCTGTCCCGTTTACCAGCACTTGGCCCGTATCTCTCTAAACCCTTGCTGTTGATTTACCTATCCAGATGCCTTTTAAATATTGTAATTGTACCTGTGTCCACCACTTCCTCTGGCACCTCATTCCATACACACACCAACCTCTGCATAGGAAATGTTGCCCCTCAGTTCTCTTTTAAATCTTTCCCCCCTCACCATAAACCTATGCCCTCTAGTTTGAGACTCTCCTACCCTGCGAAAAAGACCTTGGCTGTTCACCCTATACATGTTCTCCTGAAGTCTATCATTTTCCTCCTTACAGTTCACAATATTTCCATGTTTTGTGCCATATGCAAGTTTTTAAATTGTACCCAGCACTCCCAAAAAAGTCCTGGTGCCACCCCTGGGGACTCTCACTGTATGGCATCCTTTAGTTTGGTGTTTGTTTGAATTTTACTCATTAATGTTTTGTTTTTATCACACTGGCCTTCATTATCTCTTCAGGTTGAATATGAAAATGATGAGTTATTACTAACTGTAATTGAAGTTATGTACGCTGGTCAATAAGAATAAAAATGTGCTGATCGCCATTAAGCTGTGGATAGGATAAATTTGGAAGGGCAAAAGATTTTCGGTTCTGGAGCGGTGTCACTGGATCTGAAACACTAACTCTGCTTTCTGACCCAAATGCTGCCAGATCTGCTGAGTTTCAATCAATAATTTCTGTTTTTGTTGCAAAAGATGTTCAGAATTCGTGACCGCTTTGTGTTGTGTCAACTTTTTCAGCATGGCAATATTAGTGCTCCAGTTGGATTCAATGGAACATAATTCATGTACTTTGTAAGATTGCATTTAGTATTGAATGTAGTTGTTAAAATTATGACTGCAATCTTATTCCAGATTATTGTAAAAGAGGTTTCAGCATCTGGAACATTTTTACTGACCACTGCTTTTATTTGTACCAGAAATATTTATTTATCTATTCTCTTATACTCCTTGCAAAAGGAGCTCGTTGTATAATCACATTGTAGTGAGATTTTATACCACAGATTGATTTTCAGTTTATAAAAAGATTTACATTTTGATCCAATTTTAAGTTCACAAAAAGGAATATGGAAAATATAATTCTCATTACAAGAGTATTTGAATCTCCCAGACTACTTGATCATTATCTTCTATTGACTTTCCTATGCTCGGCTTACTGTAATAAGTGAAAAGGCTTAATATGACTGGAGTAAAATGGAAATAGGTGGATTCAGCAGTTAATTTTATAAAGCACTTGTCATCCTGGTCATGATGTGCATTGACTGTCATTCTCATAGAAATGGCGAACACAGTCTTTCTCCACCACCACCCAACACAACAAACGCATTAGTCTAGTATCTTGGACAACTTCTCCAAAAGAAATGGAAGTGAGAGGGCAATTGGAGACTGAACAGTCTTTTAATGCACAATATTATACTCCAAGAAATTAGATCTGTGACCTTAAAAGAAAATTAAATCTATATGAAAGTAGAGACTTTTTATATGCTGAGCTGTCTCGCTCCATGTTCCACTCTTCATACCTAAACACTTTTTCACTTTTCCCTTTCATAAAACATTTATTTTGACCAAGTGTTATGTCACCCTGCTATTATCTGTCTTTCCTTCTTGATCCATTTTTTTTTTCGATTACACCTCTGAAATGCCTTTGGATGATGTTCTACATTGAACACAACATGTAAGTATGTCCTTTGCAAAATGTCTTGGCTGGTAGTTCTGGTAACTGTTGGTTTATTCAAGAGGGATTTGGGTCTGGGAGAACAGCAAGGAATCGTGTAACTATTACAATTTCCAAATTGGGAGGTCCGCCGTATAATTAAATAACCTAGTTTAGGATGGGCAATGTGGTGCACTAGTACAGGCCAGAAGGTTCAAGTCCCAGCTGCTCCTGGTGTTATAACATGTCCAAACAGGTTGATTAAAATAACCCTAAGTTAAACTTTGGTTGAGGGGTATGTTTTGAAAAATAATTTTAAAATAAACTAGTTAAGAACTAACTTAGTTTTAGATGTCACAAGCATTTTTTGATTGAGCCATTAGATTGGAAAAGAAACCATCTCTTTGCTTAAGGCTCTTTGAGTCCAATAATGTGCTTCTTTGAATTTTAAGCAAACTCCTAAGATGTAGGGTAATAGTACTACTTTAGATTCATAAGAGTAAAATGTTCATGAAATAAACACAGTTTTCTGTGCATTTCTGCAGTTTATCCCTCACCATGAGCAATAGCAAGAACTGCAGATGCTGGAGTCATTGATAACACAGTGTGGAGCTGGAGGAACACAGCAGGCTAGGCAGCATCAGAGGAGCAGGAAAGTTGACGTTTTGGGTCAGGACCCTTCTTCAGAAATGGGGAGAGGGAAGGGAGCTGGGAAATCAAGAGAGAGAGGGGTGGGACTGGGGAAGGTAGGTGGGATGGTGATAGGTGAGTGCAGGTAGGGAGTGGTGAGAGAGAAGATGGACAGGTTGTGTCAGTTGTAAATCTTTTACAATTGCCATGCAAAATAATTTTTTTGCTTCGGTGTCCATTGTAGTTGTCCTATTTAGCATTTATGTTTGGCGGTCAGTTTTTTTTAATGCATTATTCTAATTGCAGTACATTTACCATTTGTCAGCATGTGGAACACAACATCCACGATTGTAAATGGTCAGCCATTTGTCTTAAGTTATTACTGTAAGTGCTTAATATTAGAAAAGTAGGTGGAATTAGAAATGTTTTAGTCTACATTATTTATGTTCCTCTTCAGCTCATATGTAATGGATACAACAGCTAAAGTTTAATGCATCTTTTTAATTTCATTTATGGACTTGATGGTTAGTTACATTTTTATTTCCCTTGGAAACTAAAAGCACAACTTCCAGTTTTTGCTAAGTAAAAGCAAAAAAGAATCACCAAAAGCCCAAAGATATAGTTTGGATGATATAAGGGGATAGCTGACATCTGTGGAATTAGCCCAACAAGGCTAGGGCAAAGCTGCATGCAAAAATGCAGAAGTAGACCATTTGGCTTCTCTGCCATTCAAAGTTCATAGCTGAACTGTCTGTGTTTCAAATTCCACATTCACCCTATCAAAGGTAACCTTCGATTCCTTTTAAGCAAGGGAATCAATGTACCCCCACTTTAAAAATATTTAACAACCCTGTTTCCACCACCTTCTGTGGCTGAGAGTTCCAAAGTCTGTCAATTCTCGTAGAGAAAATATTTCTCCACATCTCTGCATTTGCTACTTTCAAATCTAATGGAATTTTTCCTGAATCTAGGGATTTTATAAAATTAACACCAACACATTCACCACCTCAATAGCCATCTCTCTTAAGACCCTAGAATGAAGTCCATCACAGCCTGGGATTTGTCAGCCTGCAGCTTCATCGGTTTTCTCAATACCTCTTCCCTAGTAATTGTAATTTCACCAAGTTCCTCTTTCCCTTCCACCAGCTAATTTTATAGCTATTAATGGAATCTACTTTGTATCCTCTACAGTGAAGACCGAAGCAAAACATTTGCTCATTTCATCCATCATATCCTCATCTATTAACTCCCCATTCTCACTTTCTGGAGGACGACACTCACTTTTTACTTTTCTTCCTTTACAAAATGTCTGTGGAAACTTTTGCCAGCTTTTTTTTTCATTTCTCACTAGCTTCCCCTTGGACACTTAATTACTTTCTCTGAATTGATCTTTTTGTCATTTTCTGGCAGTTACCTTTGATGCAATTATATTGTGCGTGATTGAGAAGTATAAGACTATGAAGGCCATAGATAGGAAGGAACAATTTCCCTTAGTGGAGGGATCAGTGACTGGGGGCATAGATTTAAGGTGAAGTGTAGAAGATTTAGAGGGCATGGGAAGAATTCTTATTTCACTCAGAGGGTGATTGAATCTGGAAGTCATTGCTTATAAGGGTGGCAAAGGCAGAAAGCATCATAACATTTAAGAAGCATTTAGATGTGCAGTTGCAGTGCCAAGGCACACAAGCTATGAGCCAAGTGCTGGAAAATGGGATTAGAATAGTTAGGTGGCTGTTTTTGACCAGCATGGCCATAATGGTCCAAAGGACATTTTTCTGTGCTGTAGATCTCTGACTCTGGCTTAACTATCCCTTAACTGTTTCAGTTAACCAGCAACGGTGGGGCCTGCCCTTTGGAGTTTTTCTTCATAATAGGAATATACTTATTCTGAGCGTTTTGAAATATCACCTCGAATGTCGGCCACTGCTTTTTTGTCAGTTTATCCTCAGGCCTCAAATCAGTTTGCTTTATCTAGCTCAATTTCCATGGCCACATACCTAACTGTGCTGGAAGTTTAAAATAAGAGGTTACAAAAATGCAGAATAAAAACTGAAAGAACTGCAGATGCTGTAAATCAGAAACAAAAGCAGAAATTGCTGGAAAAGCTTGCCTGGTCTGGCAGCATCTGTGGAGAGAAAGCAAAGTTAACGTTTCGGCTGGAGTGACCGTTCCTCAGAACATTGATATATATCATGTGTTCTGAGGAAGGGTCACTTGACCCAAAACATTATCTCTGATTTCTCTCCACAGATGCTGTCAGACCTGCTGAGCTTTTCCAGCAATTTCTGTTTTTGTTGCAAAAATGCAGCCTTGTTCAATTTTGAAATATCCTATTAAGTGAGTGTTGTAACTTATCCCAATTTAGTGTGTTTCAGAGCTTTAGGCAATCCATAAACAGAGGCCTAATGTCTCCCTGGGGTGGAGTTAAAAGGGAAGCAATGACTAAGTTGCCGGTAGCCTTCACTAAATGACTATTACACTTGCAAGTACTTTGAATAGATAGTAGTGGACCAAAGCATCTAAAAAGGAAACTCTGTCCTCGTGTTTGGAACTTTTCAGGCTGATATGTTCTTTTGACTGGCTGCCTTGAAAGTATCCTGCTAGTAGCTAAGCTCTTGTTGCTTCTTGGTTTCTGCAGGAACTGCGGAAACATTTACTTTCCTTTTTTAAGATTCGGCTGTTCTCTCAATGCCAACACATGCTACTTAGATTGTTGTGAAGATATGAACTTTTGTAGAGTAATTATTAATTCTGTTATTATTTCTTGTCTCTTTCTTCAGTAGAAGTACCTGCTCAAGTGTTAAGATTAGCTACCTATTTCTGTCTTCTCAGAATAGCCCTCACATGTAAATAGTGGAAATGTATGTTTGCAATCTGTTAGTGATATACTCAAATAAATATAATGTGAAGTAGTGATTTTAGTTACCTTCTGAAAGCTTCCTGTGACTCTGAAGTAATTAGGTTAATGGCTGATAACCACCTATACGGTGCATTGCATTTGAAAGCATCGTGACTTTTCAGGGTCAATTCGAAGAAATATGGCACCTCCGAGACCTAATGGTTTATTGCAGACATAATTCAACCAAGTAATTCCATTTGTTTTAAAGTATGAAATGTTTTCAACCTTTTAAAAATGACTTCCATGTACTCTGCTACTTCCACAACGTTGCATAATCCTTCGTTGTAATGTACGGTATTATTTCATTTTTTAAGAATAAAGAAAATCGGAAACAGAGAATATCTTTCAAAAGGTTTGTACATGTTATTCCTGTCTGTAAGTAAACAAGGTCTGTCCTGATAGCAAACTAATTTGTCTTTTTTTCAAGTAAATAATAAGTGAATCAAAATTGCAATGAAATATTTTTTGGAAAAGAAAAATTGAATGTGCTGCAAAACTCTCGGTTGCACTTGATAGCTTTGGATTCTGCTTGCTTTTCTTCTTTTAAAAATCAAGACGGGATGGATAACTGAGAAGAATGCTGAATTAACTGCTTGTAAATTTTGAGAGTTTACTTTTACATTATTCTTTCGTCCCCATCTTTTTCTTTCTGTTTCTGCCATTCATGACTGGTTGTGACAGGACTGTGGAGCTAAGATCTGACCCATTGATTAGGATTTGCTTTGTTCTGTCTATGGTATGCTGCTTCTGCAATTTAGCAAACAGGTAGTCCCCAGGTTTAGCATCCGAAACTCCATTAAACCTAGTGCTGCTTTTGGCATGCTCTCCTACATTAATTGTACCAGTTGGTTTCCTGGTTTGATGGTAGTGGGAGCCAGGGATATGCTAGACCATTAGGTTTTAAATTGTGATGGTACACAATTCTTCTGCAGCTGATACATCACAGTATCTCATTGATGTTCAGTTTTGAGCTGCTCGATCTGTTCTGGATCTATTCCATTCAATTAAGAGGCTTGGTGGCTTGCAGTGTAAAATCCTGCTTAGTCTATGCTGCAGAATGGAAGTACAGTTTTATTTCGGGTCTCATCTTTCAGTCCTTATTAACAGGATATGCAAGTCCTGAAACATGCTTTTCAATTCATACCAAGGAAACAACAAAGTTGGTTTTTCAGATGACCATCTTTCCTTTGAAACAAGCTGACTAGTCTCTTTAAACTGTAAAGTGAATTCTCTGATGCTAGGGTATTTCCTGCTTTGATAAAATTCTATGGTTTAAGTGAGCCCTGACCCATGTTTTGCACTTTCAAATTTCATAATTTTCTTTTTAAGACTTTCAGAACAAAAACCGTGCTGCTATCCTGGCAGAGCTCAAACAGGAGAAGAAAAAATTAATAATGCAGAATCAGTCAGCAATGAACAATCCTGGAGCCAGGTATGGTGTACCAGATCTTTCTACATGCTATTTTGCATGGCTGCAAAGGGGTTAAAATGTTTATTAAAAGGACGGCTAGCTCACTTTGCAACGCGTTCTCGGAAATAACCTCCAGCATGCTCACATTATATCAGAAATTTCCAACTCTTCCATCTCCATTTGTGTTAACAAACTACATGCAAGGATTAAAACGATGCATAACGAAAACAGAAATTGCTGGAGAACCTCACCAGGTCTGGTAATACTGGTGGGAAGAAAACAGTATTAACATTTCAAGTCTGGTGACTCCTCTTCAGAACCCAGTTCAAACTTTTCAGTCAAAACATATAATGCTTTGGCATGTCACTTATCAATGAGATGTATCATAATCATGTAATCTCAGTTCTTAAACTCCAATCACTTGAAAGTTTTGTACAAACTTCCCGACTATTTAACTCCCGCAATTTTTGTTATTTATTTTGGATGATATAAATTAAGCACTTCATTGTTTATATGGCTTGGTTCACTCTGGTCAGTATATGATTACAGGTATTTGGATTTACTCCTTTTAACAAGAAAATGCTAATTTTGTTCTGAGCTTTAATCATTTTGAAACGTTTCATTGTGTCCCTCTCTTACACAACCAGTTTTACTATGACTGGCTTTTAATTGTATTGCCATGAAACAATGTCAGGAGTATTGTACTAGTTGCTATCCTACCTCATATCTATTTCCATATTAGTCTTACAGCACAAAATACATAGACTTGAACAAGTACATACATGTTGCAGCACTCATTTGGTAGACATTTACAAAAGGAATTCAGATTATAATTGGTCATGAGATCAAAAAAAAACTGCAGATGCTGGAATCCAAGGTAGCCAAACAGGAGGTTGGAAGAACACAGCAGGCCAGGCAGCCTCTGGAGGAAAGGAGCAGTCAGCGTTTCAGGTATTATCCTTCTCGGGACTGGATGTGGGGTTAGGGGGAACTGCAGATAATGGTGGGGGGGTGGGGCTGGGGGGAAGGGTTGGAGGCGGAATGGTGGTGATAGGTGGACACTGGTAGTATACACGACCTGGTTGGTCGATTGGATTTCCACCCTGTGACCCTCCCTTCCAACTACCAACCGGATTCATCCCTCCCATTGACCAATCACTCGTACCTACCTACCACGGGTGTCCACCTGTCACCAGCATTCCACCTTCACCCCTTCTCTCCCCACACCCCCTCCCCCTTTATCTGCCGCTCCCCCTACCCCCACATCCAGTCCTGAAGAAGGATAATACCCGAAACATTGACTGCTCTTTTCCTCCAGGTGCTGCTTGGCCTGCTGTCTTCTTCCAGCCTCTTGTTTCTCTACCTATAATTGGTCATACCTTCCACATTGTTTAATTTCCAATGTTGGTACAAATATGTTCCTCCAGTTACAAGAAGCATATAGTATTTACATGAATGTCATAATAGCTTAAGGTTTTTGGCCATAAATACTTTTAAGAGCTAATTTTGATTGCCTGTATTTCTTGGAGTTTAGTAAATCGAGAGGAGATCTCATGAAACATACCTTCTCAAGCCCCTTAAACATTTTAAAAGCTGGAAAGGTGATTCTAGACCTGAGGCTCACCGCCTTCGAATAGTGGCTGAGACATTTAGAATGAGAATTGCTTCACACAAAAAAATTACAAAACTTTGGAATTTTCTGTCAAAGCTGATAGTGCTCAGTTCTTGAAGATATTCCAGTAAGAAATTCATAAACTTTTGCCTACTATGGGAATTTAGGCGATTATGGAGATAAAGCAAGAAAGTAAAGTTGAAATAAGAACAAACAAAGAAGAATGCAACACAGGAACAGCCCTTTGGTCCTCCAAGCTTGCACCAACACATTTTGTCCTTCCATACTAAAACTAGATGAATAGCCATTATCAAATAATCGAACACGCTTGATGGGTTATGTTGTCCACCCTTTTTATTTAGCCTGTGATTGGTATTTTGATACTTCTAATAGAGATCTGTTATGTCTATGCTCCATAAAAGGACTTTTGCATAACCTAAAGGTTTGAATACAGAACTTCTTTTCTCTCATTTCTTCCTCTCAGTATCCCTTTATCAAGACCTGCTTTTGCTAAAGATTTTCGAGACCATGCTGAACAGCAGCACATTGCGGCACAACAGAAAGCAGCCTTGCAGGTAGTTCTTCACAAGGATTTTCTCAGCTGTGCTCATGATGTGAAAATTGTATTATCATTTTTGTTAATTCACTAACAGAACAAAAGGTTATGAATTAGCCTTTCACTTCATTGTGAATTTGCCTAATATATTCACACATTTGTACTGTCTGTGAATATGAAACTTCCCAAATGCACAAATTGATAATGTATGTAAGTCACAATGATTTCATTTTTAATGTGTGGAACTTCAAAATTATCTTTAAAAATGCCCTAGATCAAACTAGTGTAAAATGAAATTTCAAAGGCTTTTTTTTAAGGTTATTTGAAAACTATTCATATAGTTAAACCGGAAACACCTACTGTAGCAAGATTCTATAGTATATAATAGGTCATTGTGCTTGGAGGTTTTAGTAGGGAGAGTAGAGTGATCATGAGACTTGGAATTCCAACAAAGGAAATATTCAATAAGGTTTTATCAGAAATTAGTTTTTTACGCATATAGAGATGAAGAAATTATTTCTTCTAGTTTGTGAGACAGGACTTGCAACATTCAACTCTAAGTAAAAATAACACTTAAAAATGCAAAAGATTTTGATCAAAGTTTAAGATGATATACCATTTTACATCAGAAACAGGCTTGTAATGTACGAATACAATTTGCAAGGCACAATGAATTTACTCCTAACCATTGTGGCCACATTCATAAGAATGCACATTACTATACAGATAATCTATTTCTAGCTATGTCAAGAGTTATGGTTTCATGTCAGTGGTATGGTATGCAACATGTTCGAGCACGAAGGCAGACATGTGCAAACATCGCTTGTTATATTCACGAGCATTTCATTATACCACAACAGCAGTCGTGAGCCTAGATGCGTTTCATTCCAAATTAACATTGAAGACCTCTTCAGTAGAATGTGGATTAGTTTTAAATATTTAAGGTTGTGTGTTCCTAGCAATCTGTGACTGTTTGTCATTAACGAATCTTTGTACATTTAAGAAATTATGATCAGGTGGTTTGTGCTTTGATGTTTGTGGGATATGGGTATCCTTGGCAGAGATGTTATTTATTGTCCATATTCTGTTCCTACATGCTTGTTTGATTTGTTTTCTGCACAAGTGCCAAAGACATAATTACGATTTTTAATAACTATAGACTTGGTCGGAAACTTAACTTTTAATTGTATTCAGTTGATCTTATCCATGCATTACTGTTAGTTTAGGTAGTAATTTGAGGCCCAAACTTTTCGTTCAAGTGAACATTAAAAGTTGGAAAAGAGCATGGTATTCCTCATTGTTAGGCCAGCATCTCTTTTACACCATTTTGAAGCAAATTGGACACTTATTCATTTCCTTGCTGTGTTTAAGGGGTTGCTAATACAGAACAGCAACTGTGTTTAACTACTGACCAAGTCACCCAATTTAAAGAGCTGTGGAAGCTCAGTTTTGATTATGTTTAAGGTGGGGATTTCTAACTACCAGTAGCATTCAAGATTGCAGTGATAGGATGGGTAAAAGACACTGAAATATTGGTCAACCATGATGGCATTGAATGGTGGAGCAGATTCAACACACTGGCCTACTCCTGTTCCTATGATCCTGTATGTTCGAGGTGGAGGTGTATATAGAGTCCATACAGCATGGAATGTCCAACTCGTACATACCGACCAGACATCCCATTCTGACCTAGTCCCATTTGCCAGCATTTGGCCCATATCCCTCTAAACCCTTCCTATTTAAATACCCAAACCTATGCCTTACAAATGTTGTAATTGTACCCACCTCCTTTGGCAGCTCGTTCCATACACAGATCACCCTCTGAATGAAAAAGTTACCCGTGAGGTCCTTTTTAAATCTTTCCCCTCTCACTCTAAACATATGCCCTCTAGTTTTGGACTCACCTACCCTTGGAAAAAGACGTTGGCTATTGACTCTATCCACGCCCCTCATGATGTTATAAAGTTCTATAACGTCACTCCTCAGCTTTCAAGTCTCCATGGAAAATACCCCCAGCCTATTCAGCCCATGCCTATAGCTCAAACCCTCCAATCCCAGCAACATCCTTGTAAATCTTTTCTGCACCCTCTCAAGTTTAACAACATCCTTCCTGTAGAAGGGTGAATTGTACACAGTATTCTAAAAGTAGCCTCACCAATATCCTATACAGCTGCAACATGACATCTTGTCTCCTATACTCAAAGCACTGACCAGTGAAGGCCAGTGTGCCAAATGTTGCCTTCACCACCGTCTACTTGCGACTCCACTTTCAAGGAACTATGAACCTGCACTCCAAAGTCTCTTTGTTCAGCAACACTCCGCATTAAGTGTATAAGGCCTGCACTAGTTTGCCTTCCCAAAATGCAACACCTCACATTTAGCTAAATTAAACTCCTCAGTCATTGGTCCATCTGATCAAAGTCCTAGTATATTCTGAAATAACCTCCTTCACTGTCCACTACACAACCAGTTTTGGTGTCAACTGAAAACTTACTCACCACGCTTCCTATATTCACATCAAAATCATTTATATAAATAATAGAAAGCAATGAACCAAGCACCAATCCCTGTGCCACACTTCTGTTCACTGACCTCCAGTCCGACAGGCAACCCTCTACCAATACCTGTGTCTCCTACCTTCAAGTCAATTTTGTATTCATTTGGCCAGCCCACCCTGGATCCCATGTGATCTAACCTTGCTAACCAGTCTACCATGTGGAGCCTTGTCGAACGCTTTGCTGAAGTCCATATATACAACATCTGTCGCTCTGCCTTCATCTATATTCTTTGTCGCCTCTTCAAAAAACTTAATCAAGTTAGTGAGATACGATTTCCCACATACAAAGCTACGTTGACAAACCTAATCAGTCTTTGCCTTTCCAAACGAATGTAAACCCTGATCCTTAGAATCCCCTCCAACAACTTATCCACCACTGACATAAAGCTCACCAGTCTGTAGTTCCCTGGCGTTTCCTTACAGCCTTAGTTAAATAATGGCACCATGTTAGTCAACCTCCAGTCTTCCACCACCTCACTTGTGGTTATCGATGATACAGATATCACAGGGGACCAGCAATCTCTTCCCTAGCTGCTCACAAAGTTCTGGGACACACCCCGATCAGGTCCCGGAATATGTTTTAAAGCTAGTGCAAGTATAAGCATGTTATTTTATTATTCATTCATTTACTTGAATTAACACCTGTCTATTTCAGATTGGAATGGCTTTTATTGTTTCTATTGGTGGCATTTAAAATTGCAGTGAAGCTTTGCTGTTTCAGTGTTTTGGCTGATAATATTGTATTCCTTTGGTTGGCGTTCGTAAATAATTCTTCATTTTTTTTTACACCAAATGTAAGTTTTTTTTTTCTCTGGGAGAAAATTTAGTTTGGTACTTCATTTCACGTTTAATTACATTTGTTTAAGAAATCTAACTGACGTATTTTCATCTGTTCCTCAGCATGCACATGCACATTCTTCAGGATATTTCATAACTCAGGACTCTGCATTTGGAAATCTTATTCTTCCTGTGTTGCCACGTTTGGATCCAGAATAACCATACAAAATAATTATTAAACTGATAATTTAAGAAAAAACACAAACAGGACTTCATTTTTCACACCAGAATGAACACCGATTAAAGGGAAGAGAACATTTATCGACTGTTCATCGGTTGATTTCATCAGTGGACCATGATGTTTCATTGCAGAAGTTGTGTATGGATATTTTGTACAAGAGAAAAGGAACCACTCAATTTGTGTTTTTAAAAAAAAATCTCAATACAGAAGTTGGCTTTTGTTTATCTTTGTGACTGACCCCAGGTTAGAATTAAATTCATTGACACAAAAAGAGATGCCAAATGTTCTAGAGCAAATTAACATTAGCAGATCATAATTTTGTGGAGATCTTTTAGAACTTCAACAAATGGCAGGGCCTTTGTTATGCATTATCTGAATTCAGCAACTGCTGTGAGAAAGGCACTGCTATGTTGCTGTCTGCTGCTTGTGGTTGCATCATTACACAAAATGACCTCAAACTTTACATGCTGCTAATTGGAATTGACAAGCTCCTGCTGTCTAAATTGAGTAAATTTTAAAAGATGCAGTCATGAGAGGAAATTTACAATAGCTGTTGTCTTATAATATTTGTGTACAAATGTATTCTCTTCAGTTGTAGCTGAAATAGTATATTTAGGCTTTTAGTGAAGGTATTTAACCCTTTACTGAATCTTACCAGATATCCCTCACAAAATGAATTGAATTTTGTCCATAATCTGTTAAAATGAAATGCAATTTTTTAACTGCTTGCACAGGAAAGGCTTTCTTAGTTATACAGTATTTTGTGAAAGATCATTAGTATTCACCACTTCTTCAGAAGAGTATTGTTTTTTAAGTAAGCTTACAATAACTGGGTAACAATGCTGAAAAGCTGTGTCAGGCTATGTTCAAAATTAGTTCCAGTTACTCAACCTATAAAAATAGGAAATGCTTCATATTGTTTACCAGGTTAGACAGCATAAGGAGAAAGGAACTGTTAACATTTTGAGTTTTGACAAGCTTTCCTCTGAAAGTAAGTGTAACAGGTGTATGGAAACAGGGAAAGTGGGTAGGTGGAGGAAATTACCTGCTAAATATTTTAATTCTTTCTAGTTTTGGTTAAAAGTTTATTGATCTGAAACTGCTTTCACAAATACCAACCCACCAGATAAGCATTTGGTTTTATTTCAGATTTGCATTATCTGCAGTGTTTTGCTTCTGTATTAGCTATTCCACCATATAGTTCTCAGTCCACTTTTTTTCGCATGTTGCTGTGCACATCAGCAATGCAACAAGAACAAGATCTGTTTTCTAGTTACTCCAGGTATGCCCCTCATTGCTCCAATATATATAGGTTAACTGTGGTAGAGAACTGAATCAGGTCTGTTTATCGAAGATGCCATGAAGTGCAGAGATTATTCAAATAGTTCCCAAATAAAATGAAGGTCTAAACACGAGTGAAAGGAACAAAAGGGGCAGCTTCGTTGATGATTCAGCACCGCTGCACCCCCTTACCCCACTTGACTGAGATCCCAGAGGGTAAATGGCACTGCATAGTTATACTTCAGCAAGGTGTGGAGATCCTCAGAGGAGGGGAGAGGAGAACCCTTTCAGATAAAATCAATTTAAAGGTGGGAAAAGAATGCTGAAGTTTTCATCTCATTACTTTTTAAATTATTTTTTATAGATAGTTCTGTGTGCTATAAATACCAATTTGCATACACTTTTCTCCCAAACATTGAGTCAAAAGTTATTAATTGCATCAAATCTTTCCTATTTGTATCATACAAAAAAATTTTGTGCCACATTCATGCTTTAAGAGCCAGTATTACATAAAATTACAACACATCAAGCACTTTAACCCAACTGATCTACAACTGGTCATGCTCCAGACATGTGTCCTCTTATCCCTGTTTTGCACATCCTTCTTTACCTTTCTCACTTTGTCTTTATCTAGTTTCCTCTTAAATACATTCATGGCATTCACATCAACCAGTCCAGCAAGTTCCCCTCGTCTGTTTATTAATAATCATGGCCCAGGTCATTGTAGCAATATACCCTGAAAGATGCACTATGGCATCCCGCATGAGTTTGGATGCAATGGTTGTGTGGTATTTGCCTAAAAAGTTTAAACTTCTGATGGGTAATTGGTCTAGGTCTGGAAGAAGTTTCCAATTCTGAGTAACCTAAATCGGAGACTTTAAAGGGTTCCAACTTGCTTTGCTGAATAGTTAGCCAGGAAAGGTTGGAGGGATTAAAATCTATTATAACTCTGGGTAAGTAAAAAGTTCACACAAAACCTCAGACACGGCCACTGCTAGCCCCAAACTACACAGCCTCATACTCTATATACACAAACATACCCATATTTCCCCATGCGCGCACACACCGCCCAACTGATTCCACCCAAACTGAATTAAAACCACCACCCACCCCCTCCTCACTCGCCCACCCACCCAACATATCGACCTGCCGTGATGTTCCTGGCCGTAACATTCCCTGACCTGCCCTCAGCCACCTAACTTTACATACTTCATGACTTTTCAAAGAGGATTTGGACCTTTAAACCTGGAATACTACAATCATTGCTATAAAAGTGGGGTTGTACTTGGTCTTTGGCACTGATGTTGAGTTGAAAGACTCGCATATCACCTATGGCCAGTCTTTCTCGAGAGCCCTGAATTGGAGGTTGAGTCAAAAATAAACCGATCTCTGCGGCAGGTTAAGAGTGAAGGAGTACAGTGGCATTGCTTCATTTTGGCCCATTGAATATGACTCAACTTAAAACCAGGTAGAAAACTAAAGAACTGTCCATTTTCCAAGCAGCAATAAAATGAGTGCCTTGTATTCTGGAGAAAAAGGACTTCTGTTTTACAGATTCAAACCTGAGAAGCTATCTATGTTTGTTGAAGACAAATTGAACAAAATATTTAAGGAAAACCACTGTAAAACAGAAGGCACATCCCTCAGTGATGTTGGTTTCTTAGTGCTACATCCAGAATAAACACATCTTAAGAGTTATCAGTTTGAAATGTGAACTGTTGCGTTCTCCACATTGCAGTCAGCCCTGCAGAGTGTTTTCAGCACTTATTTCAGATTTTCTGCATCTGCATTTATTTGCTTTCATAAACATTTTCATAGAGACGCAACACAAAGGGACAATTTTTAAGTTTCAGTGCCTGTGCCCGTTTTATTTTGTCTAATTTCATTTTGGTTGACGATGATTTTAAAAAGCTGAGTTCACGGTGGGAACATCAGTTTGTTCTTTTGTTTGCCAGTTGAGTGTGTTCTCTTGGGCATCAGGTGTTTTGTGGTTCATTATAAATTTAAAAGATATTGAGCCTTCAAGCAGAACACAGCATATTAATTAATTCCCGAGCCCAGCATGCAACCATGTCTTCTGGTACAAAAGGGTGATTATTTCAATGGAGAGTTGAATCATTATTTCCAGGTATTGTGTTTATTGGCGTATCTCATTAAAATTCTGATACAATTGCTGCCCATTTTTGCTATAAACAATACAATAAAACTACTTGGTTACCACATTAGATATTTAAAATTTGTTGCATGCATCGAATCCTTTATCCCAATGGTTTGTATTTTGCTTGTGCTTCTCTGTAAAAGCAACATTTTAATTGTTTCAGAGATAGTAGGAACTGCAGATGCTGGAGAATCCGAGACAACAAGGTGCAGGGCTGGATGAACACAGCAGGCCAAGCAGCATCATAGGAGCAGAGAGGCTGACGTTTCGGGCCGAGACCCTTCATCAGAAAAGGGGGTTTTGAAATAAATAGGGAGAGAGTGGGAGGCGGATAGAGGAGAGGATAGGTGGAGAGGAAACAAACAGGTCGAAGAGGCGGGGATGGAGCCAGGAAAGGTGAGTGTAGGTAGGGAGTTAGGAAGGGGATAGGTCAGTCCAGGGAGGACGGACAGGTCAAGGGGGCGGGATGAGGTGTTATTTGCAAGGCTCCTGAAGGGCAAAGCCAACTTAATAACATTGGAGATGACAATATTTCTCAAGCTTTTCTAAATAGAACACTTGGTGTCTTTTGGGTTGATGGTTGAAGGTAGCAACTGGGCTGCAGTGGCATTAGAAATACATGGACAGGGATTTGTTTACTGATGCTTCTAGGGACGATAAGATCTTACTGCACAATCCAGGAAAATCCATGAGAGATGAATTAATATGGAATTCGATATGAAGTTTTGATATATTTTCCATGCTAATGGCTTTTAAAGTAAATATCCCTAATCCCTATTTGAGGATTAATCTCCTCTAAGGCCTTTTTCTATACCAGGTTTGAAAAGCCTTTCAGATATTTGTATTGTTACACCTGAATCAGAAGAGATGAATAGACTTCTCTCTCAATTTTTGAATTGATTGTGACAGTATCTGAATTTAAAGGGAGGCGATGTAAGATATGTAAGAAATAAGACAGCCAGCTTCTTTGAGTTAGCAAGTAAAGAATTAGTTTTATTTCTCAAACTCACTCATGCAAAATGCAGAAATTCTAAACAAGAGGTTAGAAAGGTACAAGTATATCCAGCTACCTGTGAACACAGGGCTAATTGGTAGACAGGAGTTACTGAAAGTGAAGACATGCAGCAGAGTTTTGGGTGACCTCCCGTTTTATGGAGGGTAGAATGGTGCAGAGGTAGTGTCCCTATTCTTGGACCAGGAGGCCCAGGTTCAAGTCCCACCTGCTCTCGAGATGTGTAATAATATCTCTGAACTGGTTGATTAGGAAAAGATCAGCCATGAGTACTTTTTAGCTTCTTTAAGCTTTGCACATGTTAAATAACCCTACACCAATGTGAAACCAATGAATCATAGAGAATCATAGAATTGTACAGCACAGGAGGCGGCCATTTGGCCTGTTGTGCCTGCACTAGTTCTTCAAACAAGTACCATTACCTAATGCCAGTCTCCTGTTTTTTTTCCCCCCATACCCTTGCACAACATTTTCTACACAAATAATCATCCAAAGCACCCTTGAACACTCAATTGAACCTGTCTCCACCGCACTTCGTGGTAGTACATTCCATACCAAATACTCATGAAGTGAAAAGGATTTGTCTCACATTATTCACTGAGTGAAATTGTTTTCCACTCATTTAACAAGTGATTAGAATTTTAAAATGGGCCAGATATGGAGCCACTTTGAGTTTTCCTTCTGCATCCTGTCCACCCAGGCCCATACCTGTACCTGACTGTTCTGTACAGCTATCGGGGAACCCAATCTATGTCCTGTTGGTCTAATCTAAAACCTTG